TAATGCATCTTATTGTGAACACGGGATAGAAATGTCTTAGATAATTATGAAACAAATGACAAGTTTTAGAGCGGCCTAAATGGTTCTCCCTCAAAACTAGCGGCAAAAAATTACATTTACTTTACATTGACTTTGTTTTTCATCAAACCAAACACCAAACTTTTCAAAACTCATACATTTAATTTAATTTACACCCTAAAATATTTCAACCAAACAACCCCTAAGTAATACCACTAGCATCATAATATATATATATATACACCTAAGTAATACCACCAATTTCCCTTTCACATATGACTATCTCATGATGCATACACTTAAAACAATTAAGATAAATTCCCATACATGAGATTTGAATCCGGGTCCTCTTAATTGCTTGCCAAAGCTTCCAACCAACATATCAATATGAGTTGGGTATGAAGCCATCTTTTAATAGGCTCATGACTAAAGGGGCCTCAATTTGGATACATTCAAGCATGTTTGGACTCTAATTAGACATCAAAGTTTGTCGGAAGGCTACTGAAATCAATTTGGATTTTTTTAGGAACCATTTCAATCAAATTTGGTCAATTTATCTTGTGCTAAAAACCAATAGTTAATTGAATAGAAAATTTAGCATCGCAAAAAAAAAAAAAAAAAAAAACTCATATGTATATTTTTTAATTTTTAAGAAATCAAGCCTGATCGCAGATTTGTATATGTATAAAGAGAGCTAAACAAACAATCATGTGAGATTCATAATAGACTTTTAGAATTAACTTTATCATAAAAACACACTCAAAGTTGTTGTGCACAGGTTGAAAACTAATTTAAAAACTCTAATGGGTCAAATTTGGGAGAGATTATTACGTGCAAAGTTTGGACACAGATAGACCTGTCAACATTTGATCCGACTCGAAAACCCGATCTGAAACCGAACCAAAATTGTCGGGTTCGGGTCGACCCGGTTAAATAACGGGTCGGGTTAGGATTTGGAATTTCGACCCATTTAGTTTTTCGGGTCGGTTTCGAATCAATATCGAAGTTCACTTAAGCAAGACATTGTTGAGGCACTTGTTTGTTTAAAGGATTGGTTGTATGCAGAACAATGTGCTTTATTCTTCAACCTTCTTTTCTACTAATGATTTATGTTATACTTGTTATCGCTCATATTCCTGTTTTTTTTTTTTTATTGCAGTAGTTCATGACACAGAATTAGATGCAGTTACGGATGATATCCTTGATTTACATGTCACTCAAATTGATGCAGAACTGACTGAAAGTTCAGTTATTAGATGATTCTAGTTTAACATTTTATTGATATCCAGTTAACTGTTAATGAGTTAATCTGTTACATGTTAGAATTGCTATTGTGATCGGTTAAACTAGTAGTTTTGGCTGAAGTTATTGGCTGCTGCTTGTAAAATCTGTTTTGTATTTCAATGGTTGTGTTGGTGGTTGTGGCCTGTGGGTTTGGACCTTTTACTGATTGGGTTTGGTTACTAGTAGTCTTTGTTTCTTGTGGATTAGGTTTTTCTTTGTTGAAATTCTGCTATGCCTGGTTAATTATTTTAATTGATGTTTTGGCCTATCATGGGAGGTGATAAATTGTGGTAAATGGTAACCATTTTTGGCTTTTTACATTTCTATCATTCTATGAATTATGCTGTTATGGTTCATATGGTTTCTCGGGCCTGAGGCTTTGTGTGGGTAGCCCATTGCTAGCTGTTGTTTAGTTCAGTTTTTAGATGCTTTGTTCAGTTCTCGGGTCTGAGGCTTTGTGTGGGTTGCCCGTAGCTACCTGCTTGGTTCAATATTCATTATTCTGTTTAGTTCAGTGAAGTTCTTAGCTGCTTCTTATATATTATGTAAATTCTTTTTGGTATTTCGGTAGTGTTGCTACTGTTACCCTGTTCATCTGTTGTGTTGTTGGCTGCTACTTTCGATTTTTTGAAGTTGGAATGCAATGAAGGAAGTTAAATGAGAAATGTATAAGCGATGAAGCGATGACGATTAACCTTCTAAGATGAAAGTGGGCACTGGCCACTGGGTGGGACTCGTATAAGTGTAAGTTCTTATGTACTATTACAATTTACAACCAAGTGATAATTTTTATTAACTTAGAATAACATATACTATATAACAATATTATTCAAAGAACAGATATTAAGTTAATATAAATTGTCACATATGATGGTAATTTGTCAATATGACAATATTGATTAAACTTACATCTTACATCGCAATGACCTCATTATGAGATTAAATGATTAATGATTCTGAAGGTTTAATCTAAGCAGAGCAATATATTATTTTTACATATTTGAGTTCGCAAACTATATAATTGATTTTATTGCGGGTCATTGTAGATTTGAAGCTGTTATTTCGAGGAGCAATGGAGCATTTCAATATTTCTCTTAAAGCAATACAGTTGTTATTTCGATGAGCATTTGAGCATTTCAATATATAAATGTATAATTGTATAAATAATTATTCTGAATTGAGATTGAGGTAAATTTGAAACTTTGTAAATTAGTATTTCTATACAATTGAATTGAGTTTATAAATTTGTAACTAAAAAATTAGCAAATGATAGATTTGTGAATTTTTGTTGTAGTGCACTTTAGCTCGTTTTTTTTGTCCCCTTAAATTATAATTAAAATTATTGTACATATGGTTAACCGGGTAGGGTCGGGTTGACCGAACCCGGGACGGGTCGGTTTCGGGTTTCGAAAATCAACCCGTTTATAAAACCTGGTCGGGTTGACCCAAACCCGAATAATGCCGGGTCAGTCACTGGTCGGACCCAAATACGACCCGTAACCCGAAATTGACAGGTCTAGACACAGAGCATCGTTCAGTTTTGTCTCTGTGAATAGTAAAAGCACAGTTGTGCGACTGCACTTTTACTGTTCACAGAGACAAAATCGAATTATGTTCGTGTCCAGACTCCGCAAATAATAAACCATCCAAACTCGGGCGTTCGCTCAAAAAAATTTCTTCAAAAAAAAAAAAAAAAGATGCCATCTAAGCTAAAGCCTATTTGTTAATATCCAAGCAATTAATCTAATCATTCCTTTAAAAATTTAAGACTATCATTTTTTTTATTTCTTATGAATAAAGAAATGCAAATGAAACTTAAGGTATATTTGAAATAACTACAGTTCTTTTATAAAGTTGATTATAAAGTTATTGTAAAAAATATATATATTTTGGAAAGATGCTATAAAAATAAATTCTCCCCACCAAAATTTCATAGAAGTGATGAAAAAAATAATAGTCAAACAGATTTATAATTGAGATATGAGAATAAAAATAATAATAAAGCAATCCCCAAAGAAGCTTTAAAAGCTAAGACCATATGCAATGAAACATCAAACTATTTTTCCGTCGCTCCAACCGAGCGCCAATTTTGCGGCTATTTTATCGCAGGTGAACAGTGCGACGTCAACCACTAAATTTTTATGTGTCAACGAGATTTGCCCGCGAAATGGAGAAAGACGGCTACGAGACGACTAAACTCACCAAGTAGAGTTCGATTGGAGAAAAATTATGACATTTTGGAGTTCTGTTGTATTTTGCGGTGAAAAATGATGTTTTCGGTTGGAGATGCCCTAAGGGATTGTTGTCGCGCCAAAATAGCAAATAATTAATTAATAAAAAAAAAAGATCATCAAATGGAAAAAATATGATGGGACCAATGAGGAACGAGACAGGATTATGGAAAGAGCCAGTCACATTATCATAAAAAACTTTTTTAAAAATTGATACGGCATCACAAAATTAGCTTGATCGGGCACGAATCTCGAGGCGAAAGCTAGTTGTTAAGTCTATTTACATACAGATGCAACTTGCAACAAAAGGGAGGCCCCTGGTTTGGAGTCCAAACTAGAGCTGATTATTGCGTCCGGTGTCCGGATTCGTCCGGACACCTATCCGCTGTCGCCACGTCATCAAAATACATTGGGACCCAGTGTATTTAGGTGATGTGAAGTCACCGGATTGGACATCCGGTGACTGGACGCAATAATTCGCCCCAAACTAGGGGCCTATGCTTGGAATAGAAATTATGGTATTTTCATGAACGTTGAGCTGATGATGATAAACATTATGATTGGATCTGGCAGATTTCCTTTCTCCTGATGATCTTTGGAAGGAATGGAGGATTTTTCGCCTTTGGATATTCTTCTTTAGTTTATTAACTATTTATAATTAATAATTAGGTCTATTTATATAGAGATGCAACTTGGAACTAGATCTGGAATTTAGCAAAACGTCATTAGTCTCCTTCATGTCCGTTTGGATAGCCACATCGCATAAATTCAACCAGATATTTCCTTTCGATGTGATGAAGCGATGGATTGAGATCTTTTTATTTTCTTTTTGGAAAATTGAGGGTCAGGCCAAAACACACCGGCTTGTCATACAAGTGTCAGAAACACATTAACTGGGGTTCCTTCGTCGATAAGCACAAGAATGAAGAGACAGTGATTGCAAAAATAGTGCAAGCGAAATAAAAAATTCAACACCAACTTTAGAAAAATTATTCTGTGCAGAATCCAGACAAAAAAAAATTGTTCGGATTAATTTGATACATACTATGTACAAATTTATATATAATATATATACTCATATGTCCAGATGGTTCTTCCCGGCCGGACTCCGACAATTGCGAGTATACAATCCGAAAAGTTCTTCCCGTCACGACCCGCACCGCCAAGAAATATAATAAATGGCTACACGCCTACATAGTGAAGCAATGAATTGATTTAATTGCTGTCTCAATCAACTTGCTTGCAAGTTGTGTGTGTGCCGACTTAGTACCTCCATTTTTTCCTCTCATCAGCCACGTTCTCATTCAGATTAGAAGTCTTCAAATGACAAACGAAAGCCTTCAATTTTTTATACCTATGGAGCTACGAAATGCTTTGAACTTCTTATTTGGAGTTTTTTTTATGCAGCAAAGCATTTTCTCTCATAAATTCTGATCACTTTAATTTAAGATTTATAATGAACTTCAATTGAAGGAATATTCAAAATGGATGTTTCATTAATGGAAGTATATCTTAAATTTCTATTAAATAATACAACTGTACAAAAATTCAAATCACCTGCCCCTCTTCACATTTCTATAGATGCTGTTTGGAGACCTATCAGAATGAGTCATGCCACTGTTTTACTATACCGCGACTTGGTACTTGGCACTTCTCGGTACCGCGGCATTCGGACGTAGAGTCGTGTCCGGTATCCGCACAGAATAATTTCTTCTTTACTTGTCACAAACTAAACCACATAACATAAAGAACTATCACATAAACATAATTCCCATCAAGCCAAGCAATTTGAAATGTTATCTGAGTATGGAAACAACCAAATCTGAATCACTTGAACCCTCTCCTTCTCTGTTCCCAACTCACAAACCAAACCAAATCTCTTCTTACAAAGATCATAAGACATCAACTTGCCCATAACCCATAGGTAAACCACATCCTCCTTCGGATGAAAAGCCAAGAATTTAAACTGCCCGTGATGCAAAAAATTAGCAGAAGACATATCTCTGCAGTCACCATTCCATTTTAAAATCCCTGAAACACTTACTTTGTTCTTCAACGCCCATTTCATTCCTTTTAAAACCCAAATCCTCAATTCATTTGCATCATTTATTGTGCAGTGGAGAAACCCACCAGAATTCCCTAAAGAAGTATCTTGTTTCATGTCCTCAGGCAACTCAATTACGTTGGAACACATCTTTTCTAAATCAATGCAAGCAACATGTCCAGGAAGAGCAAGAACATAAAGAACACCATCAAAGTAATGCATCGAAGCTGAGAGGCTATTGGTATCAACTCCCCAATTCAGGCTGTGTTCGACCCATTGGTCGGTCTCTGACGAGAAGACTTCAAGTTGGCCTCCTTGTGCTTGCCACCCACTGAAGCAAACCACCTTGTAATATGGTGATTTGTAAGCATCAAAAGCTAATATTGAGAGCTGGCTATTACCCCTTGGCTTGGGTAGAGCAGCCCATGTTTTTGTGGTAGGATTGCAGACATGAAATGCAGAGGGAATGCTTCTGTAAAAGAGGAGAAGACCATTGTTGCAATCTATGATGCTGGAGTTGTGATAAAATGGGAGGTAACTGAAGTCTGTTTCATAGAAACAACCATTAGAGTTGCATCCATATCTGGGTTCAAGCTTGAGATCTTCGGGACCGCTGCGGTAGAACACGCCGGAGAGGATTAATGGGAGCCTTGTGGCGACATAACGGTCTGCAATAAGCCGCTGCCATGACCTTGATACGCATTTGTAGCGGTAGATGCACTTCAATGGTAGCTTGGTGAGAATTTCTATCAGCAAGTCATTGGTGAGGCCAATACCATTGGTTTCAGCATGATAAGAGATATTGCTATTGTTCATATTGGAGAAGCTTATTTTCATCTGTGTGGGAATCCAAAGGTAGAAAGAGATATATAGGAATCCAAGCTAGATAGAGAGAGATGGAATCTGAGAAGATAATTGTTTAAGGCTTGCATTTAAGAGAAAGATATATAAAGAATTTTTTTTTAAAAAAAAAATATGATCGATATATACGGTAATGAGAGGTAGACATGTGTCCACTAAAGCAGATGCCTTACACGCTAACATTTAAAGCGGTGGCACCGTTTCTTCTATGCCAAATGAAACAGAAAGAGTTTTCCCAAAAAAAAAAAAAAAACAGAAAGAGTACTTCCTTTAAAAAAAAAAGAAACGAAAAGAGTGGCATTGGGGTCCATTATATCTAGCTTTCCTTTAACGGGAATTTTTCTTTTTTTTTTTTCTTTTGTGTGATGAGTATAAGAAGTATAATTTTGTTAGTTATTAATGCGTGCAAGAAAAGGATGAAAATTCTTTTTCTTTTCCTTCTTTTAGATCATCACCAACCAAACTACATATCATCATATGTCATCCGTTATTTGCTCCATTAGAACTTCAAATAGCATGTCAAATTTCGATAGGTGAACAGTATGATGTCAATATTGATATCAGATTGTTAACCTACGTCAAAAAAAAAAATCGCTGCGAGATTTGACGAAAAAGCGCACGAAAGAAAGAAAAGCACGTCAAAGATAGTTACCTTCGCCGGAAGCACGCGAAAGAAGAAAAAATGATTCAATTGGAAAAGCTGCATTTTAAAGTTTTACTTCATCTTAGAATAGAAAATGAATATTTTGGTTGGAGATGCCCAAAAGACTAACTGAAGCAATTGCTTCTTTGGATTCTTTTTGTTTACAGCTTCTTCGCTACAAAACAAAAATGAGCTGCCGGTAGAAGCAATCGCATTATCCCCACCGTAATATAAGGAAAGCATCTTCATTCTTCAAGTTCTCATGCGGTTGTTTAAACTTGAAAGCATTAAAAATAATAATATATTTCTCATTAATATGGATTTTAAATCTCATAAATTTATTTAAAATTCTTTAAAAAAGATTATTTGATTTATAAAAAATGGTAAGTGAATGTGAAATCATCAATTGTAAAATATATTTTATATTTGCAGAAAAAATTAGTTAGGATATTTTCATTAAAATTTAGTCTGGATGAATTTTAAATTTCTTAATTTTATTTTATGATAATATAATAGATGAATGATCAATCAACTCTTATATTGTATTGATCTCAAGGTAAATTTGCAAGTTTTAGGGGCTATTTAGTTGCATGATTTAGACCGGATTTGAGCGAAATCCAGTCAAACAGTCAAAACCAAATCTCACGGTAAATGAAGGGCGTGGTTGACAAAAAATTCCGTCTTTTCGTGGTAAATCCTAGATTTCTGAAATCCTTTCATTCAGCAGATTTAAACGAAAGCCGCACTATTTGCCTCATCTCCTCACCCTCGCCTCTTCATCAAGCAGTCACATGGGCTTTAACTTGATTTATCATGAATGTTACCAAACAATTTTCAAGATTTAACCCTCATATTTAGAGAATTTATGAAATCCTAGTTGCTACCAAACAGCCCCTTAAAGTCCATCTTGATTAAATTCTAGATTTTTTTAGATGACTTTCGGTAAAAGGCTTTTAAAAGAATTATTAAAAATCTACTTTAAAAAATAATAAAAAAACTGTTCCAAATAAAGATTAATCAGGTATCCTTTTTACAAAATTCAAATGAGTGAGAGAAAGAGAGAGAGAGAGAGAGAGAGAATTTTGTTATCCTGTACAGCAGTCACACAAGCAGGAAGAAAACGCAGACCGAGAAAACATGGAAAAAGAAATATTCATTTCAGGTTATGTATGTGAAAAGATTACACGAGTATATATAGAGAGCTAAGGAGACATTTTATAAAATTAACCAGGATGGCTCTCAAGAACTGTATGATCTTGAATAGCTGTTAACATCCCCTTGCAAACTGATGTCAGGTTACTGGGAAACAGCTTAGGAAGGAGAAAGTTGAATCGAGAAATGGTTAAAACTTTTGTAAAAATGTAGGAAATATGATGTGGCTGAATGTTATTATTTTTATACACTCTCTAATAAAGTGGCAATCAATCTCTATGTGTTTAGTCCGAGCATAATAGACAAGAATATTTGCAAGAGCGATAGCTGAGGTGTTGTCAGAATATATAATGGTTGGCTATGTCTGAGTGCAACCGAGCTCGTGTAAGAGACGTCGAAGCCATATGATTTCAGTTGTGTTAGTGGCAATGACACGATATTTTGCCTCTGTTGAAGATCTTGCAATGGTGTTTTGTTTCTTTACACTTCAGGAGATGAGAGTAGAGCCGAGTAGCATACAAGTGTCAGGAACACATTAACTTGCGTTCCTTCGCCGATGAGCACAAGAATGAAGAGGCGGTGGTGGAAAAAGAGACCGAGGTTTGATTTGGGATTGCTTCTTAAAATAGAGAAAATCGTCCCAAATGAAGCCTGAAAGCATCCGAAGTTTAATTCAGATGCATCACCTCATCCAAAATATTAAATATTAGATGATGTGACACATCTGAATTGACTTCAAAGACATTCCATGTCTGCACATAATAACTTTTTGGCAGAAAAAATAGCAAAAGATAAAGTAAAAAATCCAACACCAACCTTGAAGCACTACTGCATGACAAAAACAGAAGACAAGAAATAGAATAAATGGCTACATGCCTACATAGTGAAGCAATGAATAAATTGAATTGCGGTCTCAATCGACATGCTTCCAAGTTGTGTGCCGACTTAGTACCTCCACCTTTTCCTCCCATCAGTCACTTTTTCAAGGAAGAAGTCATCAAATGACAAACAAAAGCTTCCTATTTTTTTTACTAAGTTATGGAGCTACGAAATTCTTTGGACTGTAAAAAACTTCAAATCACCTGTGTCCCTATATAAATTTCTGTACATCATTCTTTACTTGTCACAAACTAAACTACATAACATAGAGGAGAACTATTACATAAATTGAATTCCCATCAAGCCAAGCAATTTGAAACGTTATCTGAATATGGAAACAGACAAATCTGATTCACTTGAACCTTCTCCTTCTCTGTTCCCAGCTCACAAATGAAACCAAATCCCTTCTTACAAAGATCATAAGACATCAACTTACCCATAACCCATAGGAAAACCACATCCTCCTTCGGATGAAAAGCCAAGAATTTAAACTGCCCCTGAAGCAAAGAAGCAGTAGGAGACATATCTCTGTCGTCACCATTCCATTTTAAAATCCCTGAAACACTTACTCTGTTCTTCAACGTCCATTTCATTCCTTTTAAAACCCAAATCCTCAATTCATTTGCGTCATTTATTGCGCAGTGGAGAAACCCACCAGAATTCCCTAAAAAAGCGCCATTTTTCAAGTCCTCAGGCAACTTAATTATGCTGCAACACATCTTTTCAAGATCAATGCAAGCAACATGTCCAGGAAGAGCAAGAACATAAAGAACACCATCAAAGTAATGCATCAAAGTTGAGAGGTTGTTGGTATCAACTCCGAAATTCAGGTTGTGTTCGATCCATTGGCCGGTCTCCGATGAGAAGACTTCAAGCTGGCCTCCATGTGCTGGCCACCCACTGAAGCAAACCACCTTATAATATGGTGATTTGTAAGCATCAAAAGCTAATATTGAGAACTGGCTCTTACCCCTCGGGTTGGGTAGAGCTGCCCATGTTTTTTTGGTAGGATTGCAGACATAAAAAGCAGAGGGAATGCTTCTATAAAAGAGGAGAAGACCATTGCTGCAATATTTGATGCTGGAGTTGTGGTAAAATGGGAGGTAATTGAAGTCTGTTTCATGGAAACTACCATTAGAGTTGCATCCATATTTTGGTTCAGGCTCGAGATCTCCGGGACCACTGCGGTAGAACACGCCGGAGAGGATTAATGGAAGCCTTGCGGTGATGTAACGGTCTTCAATAAGCCGCCGCCAAGACCTTGATACGCATTTGCAGCGGTAGATGCACTTTAGTGGTAGCTTGGTGAGAATCTCTATTAGCAAGTCATCAGTGAGGCCAATACCATTGGTTTCAGTATGATAAGAGTTGCTGCTATTGTTCATTTTAGAGAAGCTCATTTTCATCTGTGTGGGAATTCAAAGGTAGAAAGAGATATATAGGAATACAAAGCTAGATAGAGAGAGATGGAATCCGAGAAGATAATTGTTTAAGGCCTGCATTACGAAGAGAGATACACAAAGAGTGAGAGAATTTAATTTATACAATATTTATGGAATAAAAGAACTTGAATACTTTAAGAATAAAAAATAAAATAAAATAAACAAACAATAAATATAAAAAAGAATGAAAGCAGGCGTAACATACCTCGACGGCTATATGTTATGAAGTCAAAGCAAAGGATGACAGCAAGAAGATCTTAGAAGCACAAAATAAAATGCAGGTTTAGATTGGAGAAGAAGAAGGAAGAAGAGGGGATGTGAATGGAGTGAAGAGAAGAAGAACAAAAAGTTACAGAGAATGTGATTCTTCTTCTTCAGCGGCCCATTGTTGCTTTGTAAGTCGGAAACAAAAATAAACCAAATAAGAAGCAATTGCTTCCATCAAATTTTAAAAGGAAGAGGAAGAAGGAACTTTACACGAATCAATGATGTGATTGAGAGGAAAAGTCCTCTAAGCAATCAATTTCTTAGGTATTCGCCAATTGTCCCCCAAAGAAAAAAAAAAACCTTCTTATGCGATAGGTATTGGGATGTAAGAGTTGCGTTGGCAAATTTATATCTTGGTTTATTATTAAATCTATTTTAAATTTTATTAAATAAATTTTTTGTACGGAAATAGAATAAATATAGCGGCAAGTAAGCAAATTTCGTTCGTGTCAGCTTTCTTACTCTTTTTAAAGTAAATTTTTGGTATAATATTTTTTTAACTAAAAAGTCATTTTTGAAAGGAATCAAAAAATTATTCTACATGAAACCTAAGGCATCCAAAGCTAGGGGTGTCAATATTTGACACGACCCGAAAACCCGACCCGAACACGTCTCGAAAATTTCGGGTTAGGGTCAACCCGAACCCGAAACGGATCGGGTTCGGGTTCAGCATTTCGACCCGTTTCAAAAATCGGGTCGGATTCGGGTTAACCCTTTGACGCGAAATTGACTCGAAAGTGACCCGATTTTGACCCGAAAACCCGATTTTACCCGGCAACCCGAGATTGACCCGTTTTGACCCAAAAAGAGGAGATTGGCCCGTTTTTGACCAAAAAATTAGCCATTTTTTTGTTGGAAACGGGTCGTGTCGGTTGACCCGGACCCAAAGCGGGTAGGGTTCAGGTCAGGAAAACTGACCCGTTTTTAAAAACGGGTCGGGTTTGGATTGACCCGAATAGTTTCAGGTTCGACCCGACCCGACCCGTGACCCGAAATTGACACCCCTATCCTAAGCTTTCTAATTGTGTTGAGTTTACCTTAACATTTTGCAAGCTATATATATAATAAAATTTAATTGTGAAATATGTAAAGTAGGTGATTTTTAGTGCTATACAATGGTGAAGCCAAAAAATTTTTAAGGGGAGCCCAACTATAAACTTGCTTCAACTAATTTTTATATTCATATTCAATTAATTACTTTACTATTTATATGTATTATAAAAAAATTAATATGCTCTGTAAAAATATGCTTGCAAATTCCATTCTATTTTTAGATTGGGACATCTTTTGACAGGCTTTGTGCTATTTATAGGAAGGTTTTTTACTCATAATAGCTTTAAAAACCGTGTTTTTTTTTTCGGTTACGATCATTTAGGTTTTGTCTCAGTTGTCTTATGATTTTTTAAATGAACGTAATTGGAAAAAAAACACGGTTTTTAAAGCTATTATAAGTAAAAAACCTTCCTATAAATAACACAAAGTCTGTCGATGCTTGAGCTGAGAGGCTCGAAGGTTGGACAAATTTTAAAAACTATCATTTATCAAGCTGGTAATTGATGAGCCAGCTTTGCTTGACTTGTATTTGATTTTAGAAGAATATACGAGAACAAGTACTTAAATCGTCTACATATTTCTTTATTCAAAATTCATTGAATTATACATCAAAATCTAAGACATGCATGACCAAACGCACTATAATATTATTTGTGTCAAATTTGACAGAATTGAAGGACTGAAAATGCAAATATCATGGCCATAAAATATTAAAAATTTAAGGCAGTTTTTGAAGAAAAAAAATGTGTCAGCGTTTCTTAATCAAACAAATGATTCAGATGAACTTTAAAGACTACGCTTATAGTCTTCCTGAACGATTTAATACAAATTCATCATATTTATTTTCATTGTATATTTTGAAGGAGAAATTATTATGTATGGTGCGGTCACTGTACGGCATCCAGAGGCGAATCAGAATATGTCATATCATTTTCTTGTTGTGTACCAGATGATGTGGCGCATCTTGATTCTCCTTTAAAAAAATCAGCACTGCAGGCTGCAGCACACAAATGAAACATAAAAAAATATGCCTTTAAAAATGTTGCATTTGATTAGAAAGTAGAATGATAAGATAAGGAAGACTTCAGTCTCATTAGTATGTCAAATGACATGCTTGGTATCTGATTTGAGCTATGATTGCACCGACACTTCTCCTCAAAGAGGCGTGCAGTGTTCGACACCGTGTCCGACACGACACTCCTTCGATATGTGTCGAACACACCGAAAACGTGTCCCATTAAAAAAATATTAAAAATAAATTGGACACGCGTGTCAAACATGCGTATCTTAAATATTTTATAATTTTTTTAAATACAATTTCTTATATTTGGCGAGATTTAAACTAAATTTCTTATTTCCTATCCACAACACCAAATCAACATCTGTATTTAATACTCATTCATCGAATATTCTCATTTTTTCATTTCTCTTTGACATTGAAGGTATTTTCATCACCTCTCTCTCAGTGATTGATAAATGACATTGACGTCTGGCTCTCGACATTTTAATAGTTAATACTAATCATTTTAAGCACAAATTCTAGTTAAATGACTTATTATTTCTTAATTATTTTTAAAATTATACTTATTTAATTTTTATGCACTATTTTTAAAATATAAAAACTATAATACCGTGTCCAACCGGTGTATGTGTCCTATATTTTCAATAATTGACGTGTCCCGTGTCCGTGTCGTGTCGTATCCGTGTCGCCGTGATCGTATCTGTGCATTGTAGGATTTGAGCAATTGCCAATAATAAATAGGGGAAATAGTCTGGAGAAAACTGCCTTATTTTTTCCATATATACTTTGTTGGAGTAAACTCCCTACTAGCATGTGACTTTGTTTAACCCAAGGCTTTGAAAATCGGACCGGTCAATGAACCGGGAGAATGAGGGGTTAGAGGTTTGATGGTTCAACCGGGGTCAAACTGGATGACGTAATAAATATTTATTATATTTAAATATTATAATAATGACACAATTATTTATAAATATATAACAAAAAATGAAAAAAAAAAAATTATAATACTTTTACTAAATGTCTAACTTCCGATCTAATGGGAAGGGCAAGCCGTCGGAGAGGCGACGTCAATCAGCCACAAAGGTGCCGGAGAAGCACACGAAATGTGGAAAGTTACTTTCACAGTCAGCGTGCTCCCGTTCTTATTCCGATCTCCGATCAAAATGTCGTAACTTCCGTCGGATGAGCAAGGTCGGACAGCAGTGACGGAGCCGAGGAAGGTGCGCGAAATGGAGAAATTTAACTTCACAGCCCTCCCGTTCTGGCTTCCGCTCAAAATGTCGAAACTTCCGACCCGGACGGTTATTCAAAACCGGAGCCGGTTTTTCGGTTCGACGGTCGAACCGGCGGTTCGACCGGTCCGAGGCCGGTTCAATGCGAAAACGGTTCTTTAAAGACCCGTAACCGGCCGGCCGATCGGTTCGCGGTTCAACTGGTTGAATCGGCCGGTCCGATCCGATTTTAAAAGCCTTGGTTTAACCTGCATATATTGGCAATTACTCTATTTCCTACTGATGCCAACTCTGTTTCTAATTGATCCCATACCACTATTTGGCCGATTATTTCTACTTTTGTGTCAGCGCTTTCTATTTGACGTTGCTTACTTATTTTGTTTGGCATGTCTTGGAGTAACCTATAAATTGGACTTCTTATGAAAAATTTGACGCTGTTAGAACTTATGAAGAATATATAAAGCATAGTATTTGCATAGACTTAGGCTTCGTTTGGGACGGCTTTCTTACTGCTTTTTGAAGCTGTTTTTTAGTATCAAAATTAATGTTTTTGTACTGTAAGTTGCTTTAAGAAGCAAAGAGAAAGTCGTCCCCGGCTTTCTTACTGCTTCTTAAAGTAGCTTTCTAATAAAAAAAGTTTTTATTAGAAAGCTACTTTAAGAAGCAGTTAAACTTTTTATTAGAAAGCTACTTTAAGAAGCAGTAAGAAAGCCATCGCAAACGAAATCTTAGAAAGATTATGCGAATTTTAAGAGTCTTTGTGAGTTATAAATAGGACCTCTGAAAGACTTAAAAATAAATAAATAGTGTATTACAATAAATTTTCAAAAGTTTTCAATTCTTCTGCCTATGCTGGTTGAATGTGAATTCTTCTAGAGTTTTGCATGTATTGACGAGAACTTGTGGTGATGAGTCTCATTGTTTTAATGTCATGAATCTTTCATTTGGGTGATTTGAGTACAAAGAAAATTTGAGATAGAATCATAGAAGAAACTGTGACCACCAACCTTGTAGGTTAGCATTAATCGATTGTATTATCCTCATTATCCATGAGTGTTAAGATTCACAAAGGATTTTTTTTCTTAGTTAAGAGTGAATCAAAATCTCATTTTTCAATGGAATAAAAATAACAACTTTAGAGGAACAAATCCAAAGATTTTACATGACAAACTATATTAGGCGGGACTTCCTTCAAATTTAGGCGTGTTGACCCAATATGCGGCAGACGCAAAGCAGGCCGACTCGACTTGACGCGACGCAATCCGGGCAGACCCGACGTAGGCAGACGCGGTTAATGCGGGCACTCGACGCAACGTCATGTAGACTTGGTCAGCACGGACGCGAGGGCAAACAGACCAATTAACACTTTTTACCGGGCATTTCGTGTACGGTGGGTCGGAATCCAGATCATTCTCATGTTTCCGGGTCAACCCAAATCGGACCCGGTTTTTTGAAATGAGTCGGTTTGTTGAACCCAATCACGACTCATTTCACAAATGGGTTGACCCTAACCTGAAATTTTTTAATCGGATTTGAGTCAAATTTTCGAATCATGTCAAATATTGACACCCATTGTAAATTGTAATGATTGATCAGCAATATTGGGAGATGAACTCTTTCTCATAAAAGCTCATATGATCTTCTCCTAAAAAATATTTCACAAGCAACTCCTTAGGCTTGTAATAATTTTTTCATGTGTATGGATCTCAAGAGAAATTTTGAGGATTATTTTCCTTACAAATTTATAATGAATTTTTTACCTTTTATGTGTTATTACCTTGGTCCGTAAGGTGTTATATCACCATAGTACGTAATATGACGCAGAAATAAGTACAACAATAGTGCCCATTACAAGAGTTGAACACGAAAATAACAAATAGCACAAGTAAATTAGATTCATAAATACATGAGCAAAGACTATCCAGATCCAACAAAAATTAGTATTTAGTGTATATATTAAGTTTTCATTTTTAATTTGACATATAAT